CCAGAGCTGGGACAGGGCTTTCCCCTCCACACTGATGCCCCTCTGTGTGTCAAGGCTTGTTTCAGGGGTGCTTGTGAGTGGCGGCCATTGAAAAGGAGGCTGCCCCCACTGAGCAGGTGGGATGAGCTCAGCAAAGTTTCTGGACATCCATTGGACGCCAGCAACGGATGGGAAGAAGTGTAGGCACTGACGGAAGGCTTGCCAGTCCCTACAGTCACTAGACATATTTTGTGACTCACTCTTGCTTCTCAACCCAATGGACTGGGTCCTGACCTCAGGTCTAGGTCACACACGCCACCCTCTCCTAGCCCTAGACTCCATCATCTAGTGTCCCTGGGGACAGGCAACTGATTCGGGTCTCTTTCTCTCTCTCTGTATGCTCATTCTCGCCTATCATTATGTCATAAACTTTATTCCTAACTTCCCTAGGGCTTTCTCTTTTAATTCTTAAGGCCAGAACTATTTTGTTCTCTCTGTATTTGTTACAACAAACTCTAATTCTCTTACAGGCTACAGGAGAGGGTCACACTGATGAGGAAATGGTCTTAATCCTGTCTGTCACCACTGTATGACACGGGTCAGATCACTTCTCCTCTTAGTGCCCCAATTTGCTCATCTGTAAAATGGGGATACAAAATTACCTCAGTCATGGGGTCCTGGGTATTCAAATGAGACAATGCATGTAAAGTTCTTAACACAGTAGAAGGCTAGGCACATGGGGAAAGCTCAATTTAAAAGACCACTCGGGCACACGATGGGGCCGGCCCAGTGGCGCATTGGTTAAGTGCGCACGCTCCGCTTTGGCGTCCCGAAGTCTCGCTGGTTCAGACCCTGGGCCCACACCAATGCACCGCTCATCAAGCCATGCTGTGGCGGCATCCCATATAAAGTAGAGGAAGATGGGCACGAATGTTAGCCCAGGGCCCATCTTCCTCGGCAAAAAGAGGACGATTGGCATCAGATGTTAGCTCAGGGCGGGTCTTCCTCACAAAAAAAACAAAAAGACTATTCAGGCACGTGAAACCAAAGACATGAAAGTCTGTTATTTTTATGTAGTCAAAAAAATAAAAATTATTAGAAAACTCTCTTTATCCAATCCTGACCTCAAAACTGGTCTCTAAATATTGAGTCCGATTTGAACATTCATCCAAACTATTAACATTGCTTTGAAATTCTCTCTTCTTTGCCCTCCATCCTGTGGCATCTGATACGAGGTCACGACATGATGTCACAATTCACCTCCTGCTCTGATTCTGTGAGAATTTCCCGAGCTAACTCTTAGGCTCCTCACTTTTTGCATCGGAAGGTCTCTGGCAGGACTCACGGTCTCACCTCTGAGCACTCTGAGGTAGGGCTGCCAGGTGTTTTGCTCTTGGTTTTATTTCTTTTGGCTAAACAAGAATAATGATATTAGTGAATGGCTTCAGAGATTCTTCTTCCTTCCTTTGCATTTTTAAGGAGTATGTTTCAGGTTTTGGTATCTATTACAGGGGTAGCTAGGTTTCTGTTCTGTGACAGTACAGAAAATTAGGAATGATTATTTATTTGCATTTCAAGGTTTTCCCTCTGTGGCAGCCAGGTAAGCACCTCTAGTGCCTCAATTTACCCACTTGGTTTTTCTTATCTCCTGGGTGCAGGACCAGCTACATAATTTGCAGAGCCCAGTGCAAAATGAAAACTCAGAGCCTCTTATTCGAAAATTATGAAGAATTTCAAGATGGCCATAGCAGAGCATTAAACCAAGAGCAGGGTCCTTCTAAGCCTGAAGCCCTCCTGAGCACAGGGTCCTGTGTGACTGCACAGGTGGCTGGCCCATGAAGCCAGTCCTGCCTGGGAGGCACTGGTGGTGAAAACTTTTAGAATCCTGTAGGCTTGGATTAGAGCCCTAGCTCCGCAGGTTGCTTTCCTGTGGGGAGAAGTATATGATAAGAAGGACACAGGAGCTTATTAGATCATTAGGGGCACATTAGTTTGAAGGTTCCCAGAAGCAGGAACCAACTTAAGTGTTGAGAACATCCCACTTAAGTGTTTCAGCATCCCACTTAAGTGTTGAGAACAGTGCTTTGTACCTAAATTTTTTTTGAGATATAATTCACATATGATAAAATTCACCCTTTAAAAGTGTACAAGCCAGTGGTTTCTAGTATATTCACAGAATTGTGAAACCATCACCACTATTTAATACCACATTATTTCCATCCCTTAAAAGAAACTCCACACCTATTAGCAGTTACTTCCCATGCCCTCCTGCCTCAGCCTCTGGCTGTCTACTTTCTGTCCCTACGGATTTGTCTATTCCGGACATTTCATACAAATGGAATTATACAATATGTGGCCTTTTGTGTCTGACTTCTTTCATTTAGCATAATGTTTTCAAGGTCCATCCATGTTGTAGCATGCATCAATACTTCATTCCTTTTTATAGCTGAATAATATTCCACTGTATGGGTATTCCACATTTTGTTTATCCATTTATCCATTGATGGACGTTTGAGTTGTTTCCACCTTTTGGCTATTGTGAATATTGCTGCTTTGGTGTACATTTAGGTACACTATACATAAATAAATATATACAAATGTAAATATATACAAATGTACTTGTACATTTGTGTACAAGTTTTTGTTCAAACATATGTTTTCAATTCTTTTGGGTATGTACCTAGGAGTAGAATTGCTGGATCTTATTGTATCTCTATGTTTAACTTTTTGAGGAACTGTCAAACTGTCTTCCAAAGTGGCTACACCATTTTATATTCCCAGCGGTAGATGAGGGTTCCAATTTCTCCACAGCCTCACCAACATTTGTTATTATCTGTCTTTTATTATGGCCATCCTACTGAGTGTGAAGTGGTTTCTCATTGTGGTTTAGATTTGCATTTCCCTGATGACTAAAGATGTTGAGCATCTTTTAATGTTCTTACTGACCTTGTATATCTCTTTTGGAGAAATGTCTATTCAGATCCTTTGCCCATTTTTAAATTGGGTTGTCTTTTTATTGTTGAGTTGCAGGAGTTCTTTATATATTTTGAATATTAGACCCTTGTCAGATACATGACTTGCAAATATTTTCTCCTGTTCTGTGAGTTGTCTTTTCACTTTCTTGATAGTGTCCTTTGAAGCACAAAAGTTTCTGATTTTGATGAATCCAATTTATCTTTTTTTTTTTTCTGCTTATGCTTTTGGTGTCGTACCTAAGAAACTATTGCCTAACCCAAGTTCACAAAGATTTACTCCTACATTTTCTTCTAAGAGCTTTATAGTTTTAGCTCTTACATTTAGGTCTTTGATCCATCTTGATTAATTTTTTGTATATGGCATGAGGTAGGGGGCATGTAATTTTAATTCCTGCTCAGCCTCTCAATAATCATGTGCCCTTCAGTAAGTTCTTGAACCTCTCTAAATTTCAATGTCCTCATTTGTAAAGTGGGGATAATAAATAGTATCTAAATCATAAGGTTATAGTGAAGATAAAGAGAAAATGTACATAAAGCACTTAGCAAAGTGTTTGAAGCATCCTAACTGCTCCATAAACGTGGTAGTTATTACTATTACAGTGTGAACAATGAGTGAATGCTTTCCTAGTGGAGGTGTCAGAAAGATGAGCAGCATTTCTGAGAAGGTAGTTGGGATGGCGGGAGGGAGAGGAGGCTTGCTTAGCCTACGTGGAGGAGCAGGTCTGGATTGTTAGGGGAGCGTCTGCCCCAGGTAGACCGCTGCCTCACGATCACCTCCAGGGATTGGTAAAAGTTCTAATTCCCGGGCCCTATCCCAAAACTACTGAAAGGAGGCCCCTGGGCACGGGGACCCAGAATCTGCATATGCATCAACTTCTCCAGAGGCATACTAAGACTTGCAGGCAGTGGTGGGGGTGACGGTGGTCGCGCCCGCGGCGCCGCCTCGGCCAGCAGGGGGCGACCAAGGGACGGGGGCGGTCACGGCGGCTGCGCAGAGCCCTCCGATCCGCCCCGTTCAGCTGACAGCTCCGAAGGCGGAAGAGGCGGCGCGCAGGTGGAGCCGGGTGTCTGCAGGCTGGGCCAGAGTGGCGGTGAGGGAACCTGGGGCAAGGGCGGAACTTTCGGGCCCGGCACGGCCTAGTGGCCGGAAGGTACGGTGGGGACCGCGCTCCGGGCGCTCGAGGCAGAGAAGGGCGGCCGGGCCGGGACTGCTCCGTGGGCCTCAGCTCCCCAAACCCGGGACGGGGAGCCCCCAGCCCGGCCCGGCTGAGGTCCGCCGGGGCGCTCGGAGGAGGAAGGAGAAGGTCCAGGCCCTGCTCCTTCGGGACGCCCGGGGCCGCCCCTCGCGGCCGCACAGCGCCCTCTGTCCCAGCGCCGGGCAGGTTGCGAGGCTTGGGCCTGCCCCCCGGTTGTAGGTGAGTCGCACAAACAACGACTCGGCCCGCGGGGTGGCGAGCAGTGGAGACACCGGCGGCAGTGCGGATCCCGAAGCCACGGCTGACTCCGGGGCTGAAGTCCGAAGGGTGTGCCTTGGGGGCATGAGTAGGATTTTCCCAGGCCGGAGGGATACCCGGCGGAGGAGGGGCTTCCCTCACTCGGGTAGCGGTTTCCGGTTTGCCAGAACTGATATTAAACTTAATATCTCTCGTCCAATGGCGCCGGGTTTATTCTAGTTCCTGTGTTACAGATGAAGAAACAGGGTGGTCTTAATCCAGCTTTAGTTAAATATTAGCTGGGTGACCTTGGGCCAGAGAGGGAGTTAAATTGTCATTTCTCATCGGTGTCATGGAAGTAGTAATACGACTTGCTTCCTGGGGTTGTGGGACTCGAACAGGAGTTAATGCATTTAAAGGGCTTAGCACAATGCCTGACACACGGTAAGAGCTCACTGTTACTGTTCGTGCTGTTATTGTGACGACCGACGTCTCCTGCTTCTAGTGGGATGTAGCAGAGCAGCAACTGAACCTTGTAATTCTGGTCCCCCATTTCAGCACACTGCATCTCACCCCAAAAATTAGAAATAAGTTCTCATTTTTTCTAGTGTCTAATGCAAGGCAGTGCTAGATGCTGAGAACAATACACAGATGCAAAAGACTTGATCCTCGCCCTTAAGGAACTAATGTAGTCTGGAAGGAGAGGAAGTACAAGTTCTTAAACTACTGTAATGCGAGGTGGGATGTGAATGTCACAGGAAAGTTACAGTAAAAAAGTTTGCGGGATGTTTAGAGAAAAACGAGGTCTAATTGGAAATTTCTACAAGGAATAGGGGCTTTGGAGGTGGGTCTTGAAGGCTGAGTGGATAGAATCAGAAGGAAATGTAGGTCAGCATCATGAATTAAGGGGTTGGGACCCAGTGGCAGCTTCAGAAGCTGGGGTCTGATGGGGTAGGGCATGAGGAGCTGTTGACGGGAAACACTGCTGGAGTAGAGCTTGTCAATCCTGGCTGTGCTTTAGAATCACCTGGAGAGCTTGGATAGGTGCTGATGCTTGATTTCATTGCTCTAAAGTACAGCCTGGGTATTGAAATTTTAAAAAGCAGCTCCTCAGGTGATTCTAATGTGCAGACAAGATGGAGAACACTAACCTCCAGAAACTTTATAAATTCATCTCTCACCTCACTTATGAATGTTTAAACAGGAAGAAACAAAAAGCTTGTGTTATCACCATGTACTATGCCTGGTAAGATTGTTAAGATTAAATAAGGTAATGTGAAAGGACCTAAATACAGTACATAGTAGGTGCTCAATAAATGTAAATTGAGTCTGTATTTCATTCTTAGCTCATTTGGGAGTCACACATCTGGGAATCTGGTTTAAAAATTATGGTTTCACATAATATTTTTGCATACAATTTCAGAGTGTTCATAGGATTCTCCATAACCCGTCTATGGACCACCCACCCCATCCCCCTCACTCCCAGTGAAGAAGCCTGCCTCTAAAGCCTTTAGAATAGAACTTAAAAGTTTGTGTGTGTGTGTTGTGCAAGTGCTTTTGTTGTTTTGTTTTGTTTTGAAGTATACTGCTAATAGGCGAGAGGGAAAACTGGAGGGGGATAGGAAACGAAGGAGTAGAAGAAGCAGAAGAGGAAAGGAGGAAAAAAACAACCCAAGATGATGTTTGTTTTGGGGCACAGTGTGCTGTCCTCTCATATGAGCTTGGTGTTCCTCCTAAGCTCCTCCCAGGGCTGAAGGCAGTCAGATAAGAAGGCCTCTCATTGCTGGGGACCTGCAGATGCCTCTATAACCACGTGGCTCAGTTGGGCTGTCCTAGGAGAGTAATATGCAGCTGTAGATTAGCATTGACTGTGTGTTAGGATGTGTTTAAGTGTGATAATGGAAATTCAGAATTTAAATTTGGAGAGGGTCCTAACACCATCTTTTGTATTTTTTTTCTGCAGATGGCAAGATTTCTATAGTATATCTAGTATGAGTTCCACATCTTGGCCTCTTATCCACCTTCAGCAATCTCATCTCCACCGCCTGGAGAATAAATGGGATTTCCATGAATTCCAAATTCTGAACTGAATTACAGACTACAGTGTTAATATCCTTTTCTTCTAGTTGTTATTAACAGGTACTAACTGACCTCGAATAGAACCTGTCACTGTGTTCTATTTGGGATAGGGATGCAGCTTAAGCTGAACCATTATCATCTGCTGACAAAAATTGTTTTTTGAAAATGGAATCATTTTAAATGAATTTGTCTAAATTTTGTAGTGTCACCTTATATAATGTGAAAAACTGTGTCATAACTTTTCAATTTTACACATTTCAATTAAAAAAAATAGTCAAGTGGGAGCATATTTGCAAGTGCAATTATAGCCCAATATTTTAATTGACAGAGTGGTAATTTTTTGTTGTTGTTTTATTAAAGTAATTTTTTATAGATTCTCATTACATATTTTTTCCATATTTAAATTATCTGAAATTATAGTGCATCTTTCAGTTGCTGTGATTAAAAAGCACTGATTCAGGGCCGGCCCCGTGGCGTAGTGGTTAAGTTCCCATGCTCTGCTTTGGTGGCCTGGGGTTCACGGGTTCAGATCCCAGGCACGGACATACACACCTCTCATCAAGCCATGCTGTGGCAGCGTCCTACATACAAAATAGAGGAGGATTGTCACAGATATTAGCTCAGGGACAATCTTCCTCACCAAAAAAAAAAAGCATTGATTCACACTTTAATTGTAGCATATTTTTATTCTTAGCATTCCCCAAAATAACAGTAAATCTTAAAATTGATTTGATAAAATCTGGTGGTATTTCAAAAATTTAATGTTATTTTGCTGCTTCCTCCGTAGTCTAACTGTCTTAAATAGTATCTGTCCCTGTAACATTCTCTAGAACGGGGTGTTCTCAATGGGGAGCAATTTTATGTCCCCCCCACCCCATAAGGGAGGGGAGATTTGGCTATGTCTGGAGATATTGTTGATTGTCACAACTCTTGAGGGAAAGATACCCTATTGGCATCTAGTAGGTTGAAGCCAGGGATGCTGTTACATATCCTAAAATGCACAGGACAGCCTCCCACAACAAAGAATTGTTTGTTCCAAAATGTCAATAGTGCTGAGGTAGAGAAAACCTGCCCTAGAGATTCCTGTGGATTTTTAAAATTCATTTGTTTTTAAGAAGTGTATCAAATATACTTTGACTCCTTTTGTGGGCAAGGCACTTTGCTAGGTTTAGTGGGCAAGTCAAAGTAATATGTGATTTGTCCTGTTTTTTAAAAATGTTTTTAATTTTGCTTTTTTTTAAACAGCTATACCTAACTGCTAAAGTCAGCAATTAGAAGCAGCACAACCATCCTTTTTGAAAAAGCTGTTACTATTGCAAAGCTACTGTAATATTAGATATGCCTGTCATTTTTAGTTTAGCAGAAAAGTGAGAATATTGATTAATCCTTTGTAGTTGTTTGTGAGGAAAAATTTTTTTCTTTTTTGGTGCCACTAGATTTTTCCAAACTGTGCCTTTTCTATTCTTAACTGATTGAAATGATTGTCTTCAGCTCCTCAGAAAGTTAAATGTCGTCAGAAGACCGAGAAGCTCAGGAGGATGAATTGCTGGCCCTGGCGAGTATTTATGACGGAGATGAATTTAGAAAAGCAGAGTCTGTCCAAGGTGGAGAAACCAGGATCTATTTGGACTTGCCACAAAATTTCAAGATATTTGTGAGCGGTTAGTTAATAATATTCTCTTAAACAGATTTTTCTAAATAAAGGTTATTCTCAATTTCTTAGTGTATGCTAAATTATTTATCATCTTGTGTTTATATGCATTAGTGATAGATGGTAGTATTACAGATTTAATGCATGTTTCTGTTTTAATTGAAAATTGGATGGGGGGATAAACAGTTTTCAGTATGATTTGGCTTTTTGACCACTGAATTTGGATATTATCCGCATATTTCATGCATCCTAATCGTCTTCTAACTAGCAGTTCATTAGCCATGAGTCATTGGCTATTAAATAGGGATAATAAAAGAGAAAACGAAATAATATATGTGAAAACACTTAGAAAGCTTTCAAGTACCGTGGTGGTTGTTAATAGTATTTGGTTTCCAGAATCATTTCAGCTACCACAAACACATAACGTGCTGTTACTCTGTGACCTTTTCCTTCAGAAAAAAACAAAAAACTGCCACTTTTGATACAAATGTTCACAGAAGACTGATGCACACTTTCTCAAAATGTTTCTGCTATAAAGGCATTGAGTAAGGAAAGTAAGTGTGATCATTTAAAATGAAACTTTGATTTTGAAAGTGTTGTGTGTTGTACCTTGCCCTCAATCCTGAGATCATTGTGTTGGCACAAATTCTCTCAGCTATGATTCATGGGTAGTTGGCACATACTGGTCTAAGTAGGTCATGGCACTTTGATAGAAATAAACATCCTTTTCTCTGGATTGTGTCTTTAATCATCTACTATAAAACAACAACAGAAAACATTGTATATTACTTGCTCATTAGTGTTAGGAATTGTACTCAAAAGTGTATACAAAGGTAAGTTGTGTATCTTCATTATAAATTTCATGGTGCTTAGTAGATTTTTCAAAGGCTTACAAGATTTTTTTTAAGCTGGTGGCTACAAAATTAAAATTAGAGAATAGAAAGTGCTTTGGGGGAGGGTTTTTATCCCCTCAGCTAAAGCATTAAGTCTCTCTTGAGCACTGCTCAACAGTAATGGACACTCAAGTGTTGACCAGCTGATCCTTTCTCATCTTTGTTTTTGGTTCAGGCAATTCAAATGAGTGTCTCCCGAATAGTGGCTTTGAATACACCATTTGCTTTCTGCCTCCACTTGTGCTGAACTTTGAACTGCCACCAGATTATCCATCCTCCTCCCCACCTTCATTCACACTTAGTGGCAAATGGCTGTCACCAACTCAGGTTAGACCCGAAACTTAATTTCTCCTATCCATTTTTAAAAACTTAAAAAATCATCTTTAATTGAAGACTACCTTGATGATCTTGAATTCAGTGCATGAAGAACAAATTGCTTTGATTTTGTAATTTTTTTCCCTTCATGAATCCTAATGTTAATGAATTGAAAATGTGTTTTAGAAAGGAATGGCAATAATTAGAATGATTAATCATTATGAATTGCAGTAGGAGTAATTTTTAATCAAGTATATTGTTTCTTACCATTTTCCCATTTAATCTGTATTATAATGGAGACTATAGGGTCGTCCTCATTTTTCTTAGATGTTGGTATTACTTTTTTTTCCTTAGTTTCTTATCCATTCCTCAAATGAAAGATTTAATTGTAATTAGGAGGACTAAAATTGAGCTAATGTGGTTATAATAATTTCCTAAGTAAAATATAATTTTTAAGTAAACATAATAAGTGCTTTTATTTTTAAAGATCTGTATATGTTAATAACAGTAACTGTTGACTGGTCTTACACAGATATAAATGCACACAATAGAAATATGTGTGATTCTTGTAGATATCTCATGAAAGCTTGAGACCTTATATTATAAACCGTCATTTCCTGCGGGTTATATATTCTTTTCTAGTAACAACCTCAACTCTTGATTGAGACATAAATATAACTTGAATATAAATTATTATTCTGCGATAGATAATGGATCAATAGTAGCTGCTTTCCAGGAAGTCATGATGAAGATTGATAGGCTGATGTATATTAAGACAAAAGCTGTCAGTTACTTGACCTCAAGGAACAGCTCGTCAGTTTTTCCTTTTTGATCATGTAGTTTTCATTCTCCTCCCCCAGTCCAGTAATTTAGATGAGAATGCTTTTGTAAAATTGAGCTTATGATTTAAAAACAAAATTAAACTTTAAAAGAGGATAATACAAGTAGAGTAAAAAGGAATATTACCTTACATTCTAATATCTGTGCCAGAGGCAAGACATACAAGATAGTGCATTATTTGCCCAAAATTATCAAGGCTGCTTGACATTTAGATCATCGAGAGTTGCCTGAATTATTTAGATATTTATAGTCCCCTTTCTCCAGAGAGCTGTTGATACTTTATGTCCATGGATATGTGCAAACACACACATACATGCACAAAACAAAGACGGATTAACTGGGTGTGTGGTTGCAGTTTCAGATTCCAGGCAAATAGCATCTACTTACTGCTAGCTTTTGGGGGGTATGAGGAGAGGAGAGGTGTTTATTATTTTATGTGTTACATTTCATCATTTGTGAAATTACAGTAGGATTCTTTATCAAATAAATTTGTGTACATATAATTGACATTTTAATTGGTCTTTTATGTTCCTTGTTGGTTCAATTCTCGTTTGTTGCTGGGCCCTGAGTCCTTGGCATTATGAATTTCACCTGTTGATAATAAAGTTGCTACATGGACCTGTCTTTCACTGAATTGGGATTGGTAGATAGAAGGGAAGTGGGTTTAGTTTTCTAGTATTTTCCATTATTTCTCCCCCAATATATATACATACACAGTCTCTCTCTTGCTCTTTTCCTCTTTCTCTTTCCCCTTCGCTCACATTTATGTGCATCCCAGCTGCCTCTTTTGAAAAGGGGCTGGAGAAGAAAAGAGGGAGGAGAATGGCTTTTTCATTGGACTTCATGGCTCAAACAGCACTCAGAACTTCCATTTTAGTATTTATTACATTTTACAGATTTCAGCAGGTTTCTCAGAAGCATGGTTGATCTTATCAGCATATTCATGCAAGTGTGAAAAAGGTGTCCAGTCTTGAACTGTTTAACACAATAAGTGTTTAAGTTCAATAAGTGTTTAAGTTTGTGACCATGTAGGATTTAGTGAACAGTACTATGCAGAGCAAGGGGCAGAAAAGGTGGTCTTTTTTCACTTATTTAAAATTTACAAAATTTGTTGGCCTCTGGAAGGTTTATTTTTTATATTTACCTAAAAAGAAAAGCTGCTTATAATTCCTGAGCTCTACTTACAAATATTTTACATTTCTAGTGGAAAATCTTCTTATATTTGTCTTTCAAATTGAACAGACCACTTTTAAGGAGGAAAAGTTGCAATAGTTTAAACTTTGGTTGCTTAGCTTAGGAAATATGAGCTTTCCCTGTGGCTGCCAAACCACGTTGAAGGTTTGTAATCATGACCAGATTCAATGTCAGCCTGTCTCCATTGACCAGGATCTGGTCTAAGCCCAGATTGCTTGTTAAAACCAGCTTCTAAATGTGAATAATAAGGACTCTGAGGTTGGATTCTGTTAGTGATTCTTTCCCATGAATTGGCTTTTTGATAGGACTGAAAGTTAGAATTAATTTTAAAACTTGGATGGTATTTTTTAACTGTTCTCTTTCTAAGCATTATTGCAGGGTACCTACAGAGTTAGAACTCCAAAGGAACAGAAATAGTTCATTTTAGAACTAGGTCCCTTTCTCCTACATGAGATATATAGCAATACTGAAACAAAGAACAAATAAAGAACAGAAAGAATCCTCCATTTCAGTAGCTCACATGTAAACCTAGTTCTGCATCTTGTGGAGTCTTGCCATTTCTCTTGTTTTCATGGTACTCCTCTTAGCTTCTGACTTTGTGTTCTGCTGTGGTTGGTGTTGCTGAATAGTTTAAGAAGTGCTCTGATAAGAATATTGGTGCTTTTTTGCCCCACAGTTTATCACAGCAGTAAAACATTTTGTTAGGAAGTGTAATGGCCTAACTTACAAGTTAAAAAGATTTCAAGAGGAATCAAGAGTTCACCGCATCATCATCTTTCCAAACTCACCAGCATCCTCATGTGTTTTTTCCTAGCTATCTGCTCTCTGCAAACACTTAGACAACCTGTGGGAAGAACACCGTGGCAGCGTGGTCCTGTTTGCCTGGATGCAGTTTCTTAAGGAAGAGACCCTAGCATACCTGAATATTGTCTCTCCTTTTGAGCTCAAGATGGGTTCTCAGAAAAAAGTGCAGAGAAGGACAGCTCAAGCCTCTCCCAGCACAGAGCTAGATTTTGGAGGAGCTGCTGGATCTGATTTAGATCAAGAGGAAGTTGTGGATGAGAGAGCTGTGCAGGATGTGGAATCATTGTCAAGTCTGATCCAGGAAATCTTGGACTTTGATCAAGCTCAGCAGATAAAATGCTTTAATAGTAAATTGTTCCTGTGCAGTATATGTTTCTGTGAGAAGCTGGGTAGTGAATGCATGTACTTTTTGGAGTGCAGGCATGTGTACTGCAAAGCCTGTCTGAAGGACTACTTTGAAATCCAGATCAGAGATGGCCAAGTTCAATGCCTCAACTGCCCAGAACCCAAGTGTCCTTCAGTGGCCACTCCTGGTCAGGTAACCCTTTACTTTGCTGACAGCTGCCTCCTAATTCTCTTTCACAAAGGGAGCCATGTCAGGAACTTCCTTGATAGGGCACTCTGAGGCCTTGGAACCAGCCAACAAGCTGTTTCACTGTATCCATCAAGAATGCCATGGTCTTACTTTACTGTTTAAGCAAATGTAAATACTTCCTTTGCTGGCCTTGGAGTGGGTGGTCCTCAGCAGGGATGAGTGTTAGAAAAGTAACTATAAAGTAATTCTGGTGATTTACTTTATATATCTGCTAGGATCCCATCAACCTTGGGGAATCACTAGCCTGTCTTTGTGTGAGGTTGGGATCTGAAGGGATAGTCCTTGGAATGGTTAACAAAATCATTTATAGACTTTAACACAAGGACAGCCTGCTTGGTTTGGTTTTTTTAAAAAAATCAGTTTTATTAAGGCATGAATGTACCCATTTAAAGTGTTCAGTTTGCTTGATTTTGGCAAATGTGTAGACCCATGTAACCACCATCTCAGTTAAGATGGAGACTTGGCATACTTGGTTTGATTTTGAAGTGAGACAGAGGATTTTAATTCATGTACATCTGGTTTGTACCAGCATTCTAAGGATCGCTTCAGGATCAGAACTGGTTGGGGATTTGTCAAACTTATGTGTTTTATATTTCCCTCCAGGTCAAAGAGCTAGTGGAAGCAGAGTTATTTGCCCGTTATGACCGCCTTCTCCTCCAGTCCACCTTGGACCTGATGGCAGATGTGGTGTACTGCCCCCGCCCATGCTGCCAGTTGCCTGTGATGCAGGAGCCTGGCTGCACCATGGGCATCTGCTCCAGCTGCAATTTTGCCTTCTGTACCTTGTGCAGACTGACCTACCATGGGGTCTCTCCATGTAAGGTGACTGCAGGTACGTTGTAACTGTGAATTCAATACTGTCTTCCTTATCCCCCCCTGCAAAAACTTATCACCTCAATCGTTCAATTTGGAAGTGTTCATTCAACAGATATTTTTGTGTCAGTTACTGTCCTAGGCTCTGGGGATATAGTAGTAGCCAAATGCCCTCATGGAACTTATATTTTAATGTGGGAGACAGGCAAACAAAATAAATAAGGATATCAGATGGTGCTAAGTGCTTAAGGAGGAAAAAAAAATAAAGCAGAGACAAGATCTGAAATGTTCTGAAGGCGGAAAGGGCTTGCGATTTTACTTAGGGGAACCAGAGGAGGCCTCACTGGCAAAGTGGTTTGAGTAAAGACTTGAAGAAGTAAGGAAACAAGCCATGCAGATATCAGGGGGGGAACATTCCAGGGAAGGAATGGCAAGGTAATGTCTACCTATGAACGTGGAATAACGTAGATCCCAGTTGGCAAATGCAGAGCATCTAAGCTGTCACTCTTGTTTCATGGCACATATGTCTGATCAGTCATCAAGGGCTTTATCATTGAGCTCACGGAGGCCTCAGAATCTTCCTCAACATAACGCTTCAGAAAGCCACCGTCTGTTGAAGTAGGCACAGGAGGTGAAACCTGTTTGCCATTCCCGATCTAGATAAGGATTGAGAAATCAGGCCCTCGACATCAATTTAACTGGACTTCAGTGGCTTAGTTTTTCTCAGACTAGTAGGGATGCGATAATCGCTACTTCATAGGGTTATTGTAAGGATGAAATGAACTATTGGAATGCTACTCAAAGTTGTTACAGTTGTTATCCTGGTCTGTGACAAGATTAATGTAGAAATTGAGAGTCAGGGTTAGAAACCTTTATAGCAATTTCACGAAGTAAGTTTTTGTCAGTCAAATCTAATAAAAATTCAGGCTTATATTTTTTGTCTTTTTACTTTCATTTTTCTGTTTTGCAAACGTATTGGTCCTGGACAGAGTGGGGAATAAAAACTGGTCGTTCACCATAGATAGTTTGAGAACAGCAAGTTAATACACATAAAATGCAAAATTGTAATTATTAATACCATTATTACTGTAGTTACTAATTGCTGCTGTTAGCAGTGTCATTGTCTCCAAGAAAGTACCCTGAGAGGAGAATGAGTAGATATTTCCAGCTGCCTAGAGCAGAATCTTGTAGTAAATACAGGCAGATGGGATGGAGAACTCACCAGAGTATAACAAAAGCCTTTACTTTAGACTTCTGTAACCTTATCATTGAGAGACTGAAGTACGTTTCAGGTGTTTCACAGCGTTTGTAGAAGAAATCTAAGATAGACTTGGGGGGCTTCAGAAAAATTAAGGAATCTCTCCTATATATAGGTTTACCTATATCTGTATATCTGTATATATTAGGTATTACCATGTAAAATATATGAAATACTAACGATTTTATTGTTTTGAGAACATTAGAGCAATAATCTTTTTCCTTAAGACGTCTAAGAACACAAAAATGCTTTGATTATTAGAGGTATAAAAATGACAGGATGGGGCCGGTCTGGTTGTGTGGTGGTTAAGTTCGCATGCTCCGCTTTGGTGGCCCGGGTTCGCAGGTTCGGGTCCCAGGTGCGGACCTATGCACTACTTATCAAACCATGCTGTGGCAGGCGTCCCACATATAAAGTAGAGGAAGATGGGCACGGATGTTAGCCCAGGGCCAGTCTTCCTTAGCAAAAAGAGGATTGGCAACAGATTAGCTCAGGGCTAATCTTCCTCACACACACACACAAAAATGACAGGATAAAAAGATACATATCTGCTACACCTAAGTAGAGATGATGGAGCATGGGAATGCCCGATGAAGAGAAAGGATTCAGCAGTGAAGGAAGGAGTGCAGATAGGATTCTCCCTCAGAAGATGTCCACTGCATAAAAAGGGAGACAGACTTCTAAATAATATGAGGAAGGTAAACTGATAAAATAACTAGAACATTGTTGAGAGAGGTCTCTAATTAATTGTGTTGAAAAATTAAGGTGATAAAATGTGAACAAAAGCCTTTTGTCTATAAGTAAAGCCTTTGGGAATGGCTGCCTGTTCCATTTGAGTTAAGTGATAGAACAATAACAGTCAGATTGAAGAGTATCAAGCGGAACAGTTGACTGGAGGCACTTTTCAATACCTATGGGTGGTAAATTTTATTTACTGGCTTTTTTTTTTTTTTTTGGGGAAGATTCGCCCTGAGCTAACATTTGTTGCCAGTCTTCCTCTTTTTCTTTTTTTCTCCCCAAAGCCCCAGTACGTAGTTGTATATCCTAGTTGTAGGTCTTTCCAGTTCCTTTATGTGGGACGCCACCTCAGCCTGGCTTGATGAGCAGTGAGAAGGTCCGTGCCCAGGATCCAAACTTGCGAACCCCGGGCTGCTGAAGCAGAGCGCACGAACTTGACTGCTATGTCACCAGGCGGCCCCTCACTGGCTTTTTTTAATATGCAGAATTGAACAGTTCATCTTTGCCCTTAAGCCAAAGGTGCTTTTGTTTATTTGATAGGCCTTGTTACTACCAAATGGTGAATGATGCTGACTTAGTGGAAAATCTGTGTCTGTTTCAACCTTTGTGTCTTAGATAAGTCAGTTTTTAACTGCATACTACTAGTTACACAAACATATCAACATTAATAAGTCAAAATCAAAGGAAAAGGATAACTTATTATTCTACCACCTTTACCAAGTCCAACTTTTCTAGTTGGAGGATTCCTTTCTGTTGTCATCTGTGCATGTGTAATTTTTACCTAGTTATAACCTAAATATGCTTTTTACTGGATTCTATAATGAGTATTTAATTTAGTTGTAGCCATCCTATTTATAAGTTGTTTTTTTTTTTAATTTTTTTTTTTTTTTAATTTTTTATTTATTTTTCCCCCAAAGCCCCAGTAGATAGTTGTACGTCATAGCTGCACATCCTTCTAGTTGCTGTATGTGGGACGCGGCCTCAGCATGGCCGGAGAAGCGGTGCGTCGGTGCGCGCCCAGGATCCGAACCCGGGCCGCCAGCAGCGGAGCCCACGCACTTGACCGCTACGCCACGGGGCCGGCCCTATTTATAAGTTTTTAATAGCTGAATATTATGTCATTAAATGGCTCTTTCAACATAATTATTCTCTTGGACATTTAATTTGTTTGCCTTTGTTATATGCATCTCCATGCATATAACTTTACTTTGGATTATTTCCTTATGATAAAGTCCCAGGAATAGCATTATTGAGTAGTCAAAGGTTATGGCCATTTTTAATGGTTTTTAGTCAGCATTGCAAAGTTGTGTAAAAGTTAATTTTCCATTTCGTTTTCCAGAGAAATTAATAGATTTACAAAATGAGTACCTTCAAGCGGATGAGGACACTAAAAGATTTTTGGAACAGAGGTATGGTAAGAGGGTGATTCAGAAGGCACTGGAAGAGATGGAAAGTAAGGAGTGGCTAGACAAGAACTCAAAGAGCTGCCCGTGTTGTGGGACTCCCATAGAGGTAAAGGTTTGGGGCAGACTTGGAGGCAGACAGACTTGCAAGCATGTTACAATTGCCTCAAGAAGCCTATTAATTTTATGACTAATTAAGAAAACTCATTTTGGTATTTATTAAACCTTCTTACTTGAAAATGCAAATTCACTACTAAAGATTGTTATTGACCTTAAATGTATGTAGACTTCTCTTTTCAGAGTGCTTTCATACAGTAACAATTGTTCTTATGTTATATAATCCACCTCAAAATTGAATGGTTATGAGGAGGCCATTCTAGAGTTACAATCAACTCTTAACTCATCTGCATGATAAAGAAAAGTTAAGCCTGACTCCTCAGGACTGTTTATCCTGGAATTAACACATCTGTTTAACAAGTATACACTTAGGAAATGGAGACATTTTCCCATTAATCTGAGCCAAAATAAACAGATAAATTTATTGCTTCGTGACAAAATCTTAATATGTTTTAAAATGGAAATATATCTTTGCATTTGATTCTGCTGTTTCAATCCATTATATCTGAACTGAACCTGGTGGTGAGTCCCCACTTACTCCATTAAGGAAACTGATATTTTCTTTAACCACTTCTGACATGCTTCAGCCCCATGATAGAGTGGAGGACTTGATACCAAATTTACTTAGATTTATGTAAAAAGTTTAAAATCACGCATATTAAATCCAAATATTTTAATATTAATCTAACTAAATGTTCCACTTATACATGTTTGGTTTGTATCTACTCTTTATCAAAAGAGATTTTGCAAAAGTATCTAGTTGTAGGAACACTTGCTAAATATTCTCTGTATTTTACTTGTAATGCAAAAGAGTAAGCATTTAATAGTTATCAGTGTGTTACTTGTTTATCTCAACCCTGCATGAGAAAAGGGAGAAGACTAGGAGAATGTTGTACTGAATCTTTTGGCGTGTGCATTTCTCTTTTGCTTTACACCATTGATATTTTACTCTTTCTATCTTTCCCATCAGAAATTAGATGGATGTAACAAGATGACATGTACTGGCTGTATGCAGTATTTCTGCTGGATTTGCATGAGTTCTCTCTCCAGAGCAAGCCCTTATAAACATTTCAATGATCCTGCTTCCCCGTGTTTTAACCGGTATGTATACGTAATCCCCTGGTCTCAGCAGCAGTTTTTGGTATTTGATTTGCAGACCAAAAGTCCAGTGTTTTGCTTGGAGGCAGACAGACAGAAGTACTTTGCTTGTTTATAAAATTCCCTTATGTATTTTCCCACATATATGAATTCTCATATTATTTTCTTGAAAATGAGTTTTATGATGAAAATACACTATCTGGAAATTTCCTTTTTTTATCCTTCTCAACTTTTTATAGTGAAAAGTTTCAAACATACACAAGAGTTGAAAGGATAAGACTATGATTAGTAGTATGCCTTCCATCAAAATGAACAATTAATAACATTTTGCTCTATTTGTTTTCTAACTTTTTTCCTGAACTTCTTGACCCTAAGTTAGAGATATGATGCTTCATCTCTAAATACTTCCGCATGTATCTCCTAAGACAAGAAAATTCTTCTACATAACAACACTTTTAAAAATTTAATGATAATGGCATATTATCCTCTAATAAATATATTTAAAACTTCCCGATTATCCCCAAAAATATCTTTTAAAGCTGATTTATTGAATCAGAATCTAATCAAGTTCATTTTATTTGGTTCTGTCTCTTTAGTCTCTTTTGCCCACCTTTTTTTTGTATGTTGAGGGAAATTGTTGACTTTTTGAAGAGTCATGGCCAGTTGTCCTATTTAACGTCTTACCTTCTAGAGTTTTATTTCTCCGTGGTGTCTTTTTAACTTGTTTCTGTATCCTCTCTATTTGCTGTAAACTAGAAGTTAAGTCTAGACTGAAGTTTGACTAGATTTAGAGTGACATTTTTGACAAGAATACTTCATGAGGAGTGATGGGTATCCCATTAGAACCATAATGTCAGACTGTCCCACTATTAGTACAATGCTCAGTTCTATCATTTGTTCCATTTTAAAGGTAAGTTTTCTTTTTTGTTATTAGTAAGTAATCTGTGGGGTGATTCCCTGGCACAATGTGAATATCCTGTTCTCCATTAGCTCCAATTTCAGCGTTAATTGATGGCATCTGTAGAGTACCTACAATCATCAGTGTTATCAAACTATAAGAGAAATTGAAGAAACAAGCTTTGCCCATGAACCATTGGAAATCTAGTGTTGAAAACTATAAATTTTAGATAACATAAGGAAAGGGAAACAAATTGGCAGCTATAAAACATTCTACCAATGGAGAGTACAAGGATGGTGAAGATAGAATGGAGTGATTCGCACGTAATAGAATTATAGTGTTTTGAAAGAGTTCAATTTCTTCTAGATTGCCTGACTTCCGCAATCTTGGCCTATTCTGTATATTGTATACCTTGAGTATCAGTTCTGTGATACCCATTTCCCATTATTGTTAATCCTTGGCCCTAGAGAGTTTATCTGGATCCTAAAGGGGCTATTCTTATAAACTTTAAGGCAGCTTGTTCAGAGGGACACATATTTCAGCCCTCCTCAGTGGAATGAGAGGAAAAGATATACAAAGATGTTATCAGAAGAGTGCAGAAACTATTTTTGAGAGAAGGAAAGAAATTATATTAAGTTTCTTCCAAGTGCATAAAAATGTACCTTATTTTATGCTTCCAGGTTGTTCCATGTTGTGGATGTTAATGGAGATATTTAGGAAGATGAGACTGAAGACTAGTTAACTCCTACTGCTCAAGATATGGAAGTGGAATGGTTTGCCCTAATCTTTTGTCGAGTACACAAAGTTAACTTTGCAGGATGTTTAGAGTACTGTGGAGATATGGTACTCTGTGTAGGAGATATGAAAGAACAATGTTTGTATTTTCATGTGGTGTACTACTGATTAAGGCCATTCATACATTTTTCAATGTAACATAATTGAGAAAATTATAAGCCAAAGGTTTAGAAAATGAAAACTAGAGAATATTAAATATTACAGTGTGCCCAAAGCTCTGAATAGTTAAAAATTAAATATTTATTTTCTTCCCCAAGTTTTAGGTGAGGAGTCAAGGGTTAAACTTATACACCTTTTTATCTCTGAGAAGCATCCCTCTTAGACATTCTATGGGAGGCCCCTCAGTACTACTCCTTACAACTGAGGTGGGTAGAAGCCTTATTAAAATTGTACCGAGAGCCTGATCTCATTTACTCCATGTTACCTTCCTTCCAACCTAAATTTCTGCTAAGTTCTTTTTGGAGGAAGCCTTTTACTCTCTAACTGATTGGATGGCCCAGTGTCATTTTGTTCTATTGCTTTTCAGAATAGAAATTTATAGATAATTTTTTTTAAAATGTTAATACCACAAACACTGTGGGTCACCTGATATTTATTAGTGGTGTATAGTCCACTGGTTTTGAGCCAAGTCTAGAATTTAGTGATACTGGTTCAGAAGAATTTCAGCCCTATTCAACTTTCCTGGGCAGTTTAGCGTAAATTCAAAACGACTTGTCTTTGCTACCTTTTGTTCTATATTCTCTCCCTTTACTCTCACCCTATCTTCCACTGGTAAGAACAATTTTAATATTAACTCCAGCAGCTCATATTTTTGTTTCCTCTGCTGGAATAGGAGAAAGCCTAATATATTCCCAAACTGAACAAGATGAACTTTCTTTAATTATCTGTTTTTTGAACTCCATACCACTGTAGTTCCAATCCTAACTTTCTGAATTCCTTTTAAATGTCTTCTCTAATGAGTTATGGAAATTTGGCTTCCTACCCTTTTTTGCAACAGTGCTGTTTTGGGGGATAATTTTGGCTTGATACCTAGATCCCTGTTTCTGGGTTTTGTTGGCTTTTTGAAAAATTGTCTTTTTTTTATGGTTTGGTGAGTGGCTTGGTAGCAAAATAAGATTTTTTGAAAAAGAAGACAGAGGAATTCAGCTGCAGCCGTGAACATGTTCTTTCCTACCTTTTCATTGAAAATTGGGGAATCACTTTTAACCATTTTATGTGTGTATATCCAAAGAGTCAGCAAGGACTATTTATGGATTGTCAATGAGGATGCTTAATCTAAAAAATAAAAATAATTTAAAAATTGCCTTATAATTAGAGCAGAGTTGCTGCTGCTATGTGTTCTGCCATCAAGGCAACTGATCACATATAAAAACTTTATTTGGAGTATAACACGTATTCTTAAAGTGAGCAGGAAAAAGGCATGGAACAGCACCTCCTCTTCTACCTGGGCTCGTAACTGAACTTAGGTTTTAGGGCCCATATTTTGTTTAAACCACGTAGTTTCATGGACTTCCATTCAGCACATTTTATATAAGAACTACAGTTAACTTAAAGAATAAGTTGAGGGGCTGGCCCAGTGGCGTAATGGTTAAGTTTGCGTGCCCCGCTTTGGCGGCCAGGGTTCGCAGGTTCGGATCCCGGGTGTGGACCGACACACCGCTTGTCAAGCCATGCTGTGGCTGTGTCCCATATAAAGTAGCGGAAGATGGGCATGGATGTTAACCCAGGGCCAATCTTCCTCAGCAAAAAGAGGAGGATTGGCATCGGATGTTAGCTCAGGGCCAATCTTCCTCAGCAAAAAGAGGAGGATTGGCATCGGATGTTAGCTCAGGGCTAATCTTCCTCACACACACACAAAAAGAATAAGTTTAAGGGGCCAGCCCGGTGGTGCAAGCAGTTAAGTGGGTGCGCTCTGCTGCAGCGGTCCGGGGTTTGCTGGGTCGGATCCCGGGCGCACACTGTCGCACCGCTTGGCAAGCCGTGCTGTGGCGGCGTCCCATATAAAGTGGAGGAAGATGGGCATGGATGTTAGCCCAGGGCCAGTCTTCCTCAGCAAAAAAGAGGAGGATTGGCAGATGTTAGCACAGGGCTGATCTCCTCTCAAAAAAAAAAAAAGAATAAGTTTAAGATAAGAAATGGAAGTCAAAACAATTAATTGTATAGTACACACCTGAGAAGAGTGGCTCTGTGATTAAATAGGAGTTCAATTCATATTGTTTCAGTAGTAGCCATTTAGAAGTTCTTTAGTTCATGAGCTAGTTGATATTTGCTAGAGATTCTTTTATTTCAGGCTGTTGCACATTATGTTGATAATGTACTGGAAGTAGGAAAAAAGCCTTGATGCAGTTTCATGAAAGAAATGGGAGGGGTTTTCTCTCTTTATGAGTTTAAAAAACACAACAGGTGTTAGTCTTAGAGACTTGTTTGTTCATCTGAGTGTTGTTCCTTCAGTGCAAAATCTCCACCCCTCAGTTTTCACAAAGACAGTAGGACTAGTAAAGGCTTACTTTTGAGGCATGAGTTATGAACTGATTTTAAGATGGTATAGTTTTGGGTGGAGTACTCTTGTCTCTGAGTAAAATGAAAGATTGGGGTAACGCCCCAAATGCCCTGTGAAATAAATGAGCTTGTGGAAGATTGGCGTATCAAGAAAGTATATGATAGAACAAAGAACTTTGTACCTAGCTTAATTTCATGAAGGCCTTTTTTACAGGTTGGCTGAAATTTGCCATAAATTGACATGAACCTCGGGTCCTTTAGGTAGGCACAAGAGAGCAGAGGGTCCCTTTGCAGACTACTAGTTCATTCTGCCCAAAACTGTAGTTTGAAGAGGCTGTGTCTCTTGATTTTATATAAAATGTTTGGGTTTAGAACTGCTAAATGAGAATAAGCTACTAAATAACTTTTTAAATAGAGATTTTTGTGACTGTTTTAAGCTTGTGACTGTACTAACCTAAGGGCCTGCCTTTGTCAATTAAGGTGCATCTTGTCCCATTTATTTATTTATTTTTTCCATTTATTTTTTAAATACAGAGAAAAGACTTGGCCACCATTTTCCCAGACTTATAGCATTGTCAGCAAGGTCATTTTTAGTAGTAGAGGGTTCTAGTTTACATTAGAAATCTATTAATATACTTACTATTTATTTTTTTTGTTAAGAGAAAATTAGAGTTAATCATATATGATAATCATAAAGCCATTCATGTGGCTGCCTGCTTTGAAAGGGAATTTTTAAATTTTGACTGGAATTTTGGAGATTCCCACCAAGTATTAACTCTATCATAAGCATCACCAGCAGATGGCGGCATTTCTCATGTTATAAAAATTCAGTAAATGGTTGACAGTAGTAGTTTATTCCAGAAGCAGGTTTATTTCTGGGATTTTAATTTTCCTCATTGTGTTTCATTATAGTCTGTTATATACATTGGTGGGTAGGATGGTATCTAATGATACTAGCAAGGCAAGAACAGCAGTGTTACCAAAACTGTGAGGCCACTTACAACTGTACTTGCACCATAGTTGACATCCAGTTGTTATGTAAGAAAGTGTCACTCCTGATGGTAGCAAGACCAGGCTGAGGGTTTGTGGTCAGAAAGCTGGCTTTGAGGATGTTCTTAACAAATGTTTATGATAGTTATTGACTTTCAGCATCCACAGTCTAGTCTTTGCTCAATCACTCAGGTCACCTAAACATTTACCACTCCAAGTATTCCCATATTTTTCTGAGCCAGAGGATTCTTTGGAGAAGATTGTGCACATTTAAAACTTTAAATTCTGATGCCAAAGTTGCTAAGTACAAAGTCAGCACAGTTACTTCTTTTCCTTACTTGGCTCTCTTTTTTTTTTCCCCCTTCCTTGAATCAACAAATGAACAAAACTAATATTAATACAACATAAATGTATATAAATTTAAAAGGTGATTGTGTGTCTTAACCCTCAATCCCATTCCATTTCTTGCAACCTATTGTATTTCCTAGTATCCATTCACTTATTTAACAAATATTTATTGAGCACTTCACAATGCGCCTTACCATTTATCTAGGTGCTGAGAATGTAGCAGTGAATAAAACAGACATAAATCTCCCAGCCTTTGTGGAACTTAAATTCTGGTGAAAGGAGATAGACACTAAGAAAATTATATGGTTCATCAGAAGATAAGTGCTATGGAGAGAGGTTAGGAGAGGGAATAGAGAGTTAGGGGAGGCAGAGTGATGTTGGAATTTTATAGAGTGGAGAAGACTTCATCAAGATAGCACTTGAACAGGGGCTTGGCAGTGTGGGAGTGAACCTTGTGGACACCTGGGAGAAGAGAGTCCAGGTAGAGGGAACAGCAAGGGCAATGGCCCTTGAGATAGGAGCATGTTAGGGGCTCCAGGAACAGTGTGGTAGCCAGTAAGGGCTGAAGCAGACCAAGGAAGGGAGAATAGTATGAGCTGGATGGGATTGGGCGGTGCTGCAGACTGCCTAGGGCCTTATGTGAACTTTGGCTTCCACTCTGAGATGATAGCCTGTGGAGGGCTTGGAGCAGAAGTGTGATAGGGTCTGACTTATGTTTTAGGGGAGCAGGGTGAGCAAGGGTAGAAACAGACCAGTTAGGAGACTACTGCAGTAACTCAGGTAAGAAGTGCAGGTGGCTTGGACCAGTGTGCCAGCACTTGGAATCTTGAGAAGTGGTGAGATTCTGTACTTACCTTGAAGATAAAACTAATAGGACTTGCTGAGAGATTGGATGTATAATGTGAGAAGTGAGGCATCAGAGTTGATTTCTACGTCTTTTTGTCTGAGTAGTTAAAATAGAGAAACCTGCAGGTAGCACAGGTTTGCGAGTGAAGATTAAGAACTTAGTTATAAGAGTTTAGTTTGAGATGCCCCGTAGTCATCTCAGTGGAGATGTTAGGTTGGCAGTTGGATATTCTAGTCTGGAGTTTAAGGGAGAGACTCAGGCTGGAGTAAATGTAAGAGTCAACATATAGATGGTATTTAAAGCCATGAGACTGCATGAAATTACCAAGGGAGTGTGTTGTATAGAGAGAAGAGGTCCAAAGACTGAGACTCAGGGTGCTCCAAATGTTAAGAGGTCAGGGCAATGAGGAGGAACCAGGAAAGGAAACAGAGAGTGGCCAGTAAGGTAAGAAACCCAGCAGAGTGTGATGTCCTGGAAGCCTCCCTAAGTTGAAGGAAGGAGTGGTCAGCTGTGTCAGATACTGCAAATAGGTCAAGTAATATTAGCTCTAAGAATTAGCAATCAGTGCAGAGGGCATTGGTGACTTTGACAAGTGCTGTTTCGGTGGAGGTGAGGTGAAAATCTGGCGTGTGAGAAAGAATGGGGCATCGTTACAAGAAAAAGCTGAACAAACTGAAAATCAGCTTTTCTTACATCTAGATCCATCAGAGAATTGAGGTCACAGGGCAAACCACCACAAAAACTAGAGAGACGGGAAAATGTAGAAAATACAGATCAGCTCACCTAAAGCAGAAGTTGCTAGAGCCAGTAATCAGGATTTAAATGAGTTGCTGGGGGCTTAGTGTGGACTAGCTGGAGAGTTAAAAACACCTGGGAGCTAGTCTAAGGGGCCCCACACTTTCGTGGGTTTTACCTCCAGGAGTTCCCCCAGGTTCTCACAGTGAAGATGGCAGAAAAAGCCCCTTGTGCTTCAGGTGAGGCGGAGGGGAAGAGTAGCCATTTTGCAACACACCTAGAGCTTTCTGTTTCCATGGCAGGAGCTTGCCCTCGGGCAAACTACATGGCTGATGCCTTCTCTGACCTAGAGGGGAAGGGCAATGGGATGGCTTGACCCTGGTCTAGCCTTCCTGTCTCACATAAGAGGGGAAAAAAAGGCTAAGAAGCTTCTGAAGGTCTCAGCCCAGGGACTCTAGCCTACTAACAAAAAACAAAACAGATTTAATCATAAGATTATAGAATGCCTCTTCTTCCTAATACCATACCATCAGTAGGGCTCCAGGATTTTAACAGTGGATTACAGCTCTTGAGAGAGCTGCAAAACACCAACTCTATTTTAAGGAGGAGTTTCTAGGGAAACCCAAAGACGAGGAGACAAAAATAAGGACACTGAAGGGAATTGAAGCCTCTGACACTTACAGCAGATGTTAAACACAGCCTAGCTGCTAGCCACATAAACATAAAACCTCATACTAAGCGCCTGTTTACCTCAATTCCTGTTCTCCAATACATCAAGTCCGGCTTTCAATAAAAAATTACAAGGATGCTAAAAGGCAGGAAGTGAAGAGACAAAGCAAGCATCAGAACCAGGCTCCGATGTGGCAGAGATTTTAGATTATCAGACTGGGAATTTAAAATAACTATGATTAATATGCTAAGGTCTCTGATGGAAAAAGTGGATGACATGCAAAAACAGATGGGTAATGTAAGCAAGAGAAGGAAACTCTTAAGAAAGAATCAAAAAATGCTAGAAATAAGGGGCTAGCCCTGTGGCCTAGTGGTTAAGTTCAGCAACGCTCCACTTGGGCGGCCTGGGTTCAGTTCCTGGGCGCAGACCTACACCACTTGTCCGGCCATGCTGTGGTCTTGACCCACATAAAAAACAGAGGAAGACTGGCAACAGGTGTTAGCTTGGGGCGAATCTTCCTCAGCAAAAAAAAAGGCTAGAAATAAAATCATTGTTAACAGAAATGAATGCTTTCGATGGGCTCTTCAGCAGACTGAACACAGCTAAGGAAAGAATCAGTGAGCTTGAAGGTATATCAATAGAAGCTTCCCAAACTGACATTTAAAGAGAAAAAGAAATGAAAAGGTACAGAATATCCAAGAACTGTGAGACAATTACAAACGGTATAACATATGCATAATGGGAATACCAGAAGAAAGAGAATGGAGGAGAGAGATTAGAGCCAGAGTATAGGTGACTTCGGAAAGTTTGCTATGAAGGGGATCAGAGAATGAGGCTGTTACAGGAGGGGGAAGATGAGGTCGAGTTTTGTTTTTAAAGTTTGTTTGGTATGCTGATAGGAGTGATCCAGGAAAATTTGATGCTACAGATGAGAGAGGAGAGTCTTGCTGGAAGAATGCCCTCAAGGAGGCAAGAGAAGATGGGATCTAGTGCACAAGCAGAGGAACTGGCCAAGGAGCAAGTAACAGGAAGAAGGCAGAGAGAGTATGAGGGCAGGGCTGGCAGGTGGGTACGTGTGATGGTGGGAGCTTGTGAAAATTCCTTGCTGATTGCTTCTATTTTCAAGGTCATCAGCTGAGAGAAAAGCTGGGGCAAGAGGGACTGGAGGCTTGAGACCTTCAGTTAGTCCTTGAGGAGACTGAGTAGACTAGGGGAATATGGTGTGATTGCCATTTGGTGTTAAGGGCACCCTTGAGGTCCAAATTACTGTGTTCTGTTTTACTTACCTATTATTACATAACTCAGTATTCTGTCACAATATATCTTATTGGAAACTTATGCATGCTGCACCAGCGTCTCATCACAGTAAGGATTTTGGTTCGCAGGAAAGAGGCATCAGTTTTGCAACGTCAGTTTTTCTCAGTAGGCCAATTGGCTAACCCATTATCATATGCTGTTATTTCCCCCTGGTTATTGTGTATGATCACTACTCATGGGGGGATCTATCAGGCTTATAGTTCAACAAATAATGAGTGCCTTCTAGATATCAAGGCAATGATAGGGACAGGATAGAGCAGTATTTAAAAGTCTGCCTTGGGGCCGGCCCCGTGGCTTAGCGGTTAAGTGCGCGCGCTCTGCTGCTGGCAGCCCGGGTTCGGATCCCAGGCGCGCACCGACACACCACTTCTCCGGCCATGCTGAGGCCGCATCCCACATACAGCAACTAGAAGGATGTGCAGCTATGACATACAACTATCTACTGGGGCTTTGGGGGAAAAAAATAAATAAATAAAATCTTTAAAAAAAAAAATAAATAAAAGTCTGCCTTCATGAAACTTACATTTAGTGGGAAACAAAATACATGTCAGACAGTAAATGTTTCTGAGAAAATAGAGCAGGGTAAGGGAATAGGAAATCAGGATTGCTGCTTTATATTGGAGGGTCAGGAAAGATCTCTCTGCTAAATGACATTTGAGCAGAGACCTGAGGAAGTAAGGAAGTAAGCTGTAGATATATCTGGGAGGAATGCTGGGCCAGGATCTTGTATCCATCTCTACTTTTATAAACAGACATCTCTACTTTTAATAGAAGAGGTAACACCCATTTACATCAACATGCTGCCACTTTTTACTAAATGTAATAAAACTTTAAGCACATTCCATCCACTCTTCCTGAAATACAACTCCATGTATACTTAATCTTTTTCCTTTTTGAGTATCAGACTTGAGGTTTTATAGATTCAACTTGTTCCACTTGGCTGTATTTAATATTTCTTTGTTGATCAAATTGTCACACCCTTGCCAGTGGGAGCCTCATTCAACTGGCTCCTTTGTCCTCTCAGTACTGCCTCAGACATTTTTTAAAGCACCCTTGTTTTCTGGCAACAAGATATTCCAGGCCCACTGTGATCCCTGCCCCAAAACATACAATTAGCTCCCCTCCAAGGAGCCCTGAGTGGTATCAGAGGCCCAATCTGGTCCAGGAGTGTACATCCCACTTGATCTGCCTAAGAACTGGTTGTAGCAGGACAACACTGCTGTTGGGCCACCAGGGAAACACAGGCCTGGGAAAAACAGATCTTTTTAAAGTCCCGAGTTCATACAGGCATCTCCAGTTTAGCTGTCGTCACTAAATCCTTTTTCATTTCATTCTAATAAAAGTTTTTTCTAACATTACCTACTTAAGATTTAATCCCTTCTTTACCAGATAAACAAAATGCGGTATATCCATACAATGGAATACTCTTCAGCAATAAAAAGGAATGAACTATTGCTACATGCTATATGGGTGAACCTCAGAAACATTATGCTTAGTGAAAGCCAGACCCAAAAGATGTCATGCTGTATGAGTGCATTTATATGAAATGTCCAGAAAAGGTAACTGTAGCAGCTCAGTGATCACCTGGTCTAGGGTAGGAGTAGGGAGCTTTTTGGGATGACAGAAATGGATTGTGGTGAGGACTTGTACAACTCCATAAACTTAATAAAAAATCATTGAATTTATATTTAAAATAAGTGGATTTTATAGGTATGTAAATTATATCTCAGTACAATTGTTAAAAAATTTAACCCTTCTTCCAACTTAGACTTGTACCTCACTTGGTTACGTTGACCAAAGATGTTCCATTATATTGACTTTTTTAACTAAAACAAAAAACTAAACCTATTTTCCATAGCTTGCAGTTTTTATATCCCTCCTGGTCACAAATCTGCCTTATTCTGTTTAATAGCTGTATCCTCGTTTGGATCCCAAGTACAGCCAGAACACAATAATTTGTTGCTCATCTGTTTATTCCTACCATTTGTCACACAGGCACTTCATGTTCATGAAACATTTTGATTATTTTTCCCCCTGGTGACTGAAGACAGATCAGCAGATGCTCCGATCGTGACCTCCTGCAGAGCCGTTGTGAGGAGTGTGAAGCTTTGCTCACTAGCTATTCCCAAAATATATAACTGTCAGCCCAGGCCACTGTCTGACCTTTGGGGGTGGAAGTCCACAAATGACACATTTTATTTGAAAATATTAGATTTAATAGAAAATATCACATTGTAAACAAGTCCACTGATCCGTTAGCTTAAAACAGAATGACGGCACAATCATGTATAAAAGCTAAAGACAAAACACTGGTACCAAACACAGCACTTAAAGAGAGGCCTGAGCCAGACTCTGAAAGATCTTTCCCAGAAACAGAGGCAGCAGCAGCTTCCAATAGGCACAAAAACAGGGAGGAGGCAGCATCCACTCCACGAAGGCTTAGGAGAGTAAAAGGGACCCAGAGCAATAGACTCATCTTGTGAACAAGGGGGGAAGGACGAAGGTGCAAAAGGGCTGTATTTCCTGATGTTCTGGGAACAACAGACCACACCACATGAACCTGAGAGGGTCAGAAGGCAGGGTACTTTAAGTGGGGAAAGTTGAGGCAACTTCAGAAGCTCATGTATTGTGACTAAACTCATAATTGAGCTGCCTGCCTTGGCCCCCATCACCTTGGCTGAACACAACACTGAAATCGCGGCTGCTGCCCCAGTGGACCTCCTACTTATTAATGAGTATGTAAAAGAGAGGAGCCACAGGGAGACCTTAGAACAAAAACACAGGGCTCTGGTGGGACAAGGGTTTCCGCCTTCCTCCCAGTGCCAGAGGGTCCCTGAGGGAGAGGAGTTTGACGTGCCAGGTCCCCCTGGAGGCTCTGAGTTTATCAGCAAAAGCTCTAGCTCCACCCGCCCAAATCCTCCCCCAAGGAGTCCTCTGAGTTCACAGAAAGGTCAACTAAGAGAGCAGAAAAAAAACAATCGGGGAAAGTAAGGGATAGTTTTCTTTCCATAGCACTGGTTACTGACCAGAGGGGCTGCTTAATTACATTGATTGTAGACACTGAGAGAGTTTGTTCCTTATTAAGAAGTGATTCTCAGATAAGGGGCAGGCCTGCTCAAGAGGGGCTCTCAAGCCACTCCAAAACGGTTTTGTCCGATATACACAGCCCTTAACTCCCTCCCAATTGAGAATCAGTGCATGTAATAATAGAAATTCCTCACGGGAGTGTGTTGTACACGTGAACAGTGTCAGAGGCAGAACAAAAAGTTAAAACGCCTAATCTGTCTGGGGCAGACATCCAAATTATGGAGTGATTTTTTTTTTTTCTGATTAAGAGTTAAGTCATTCTCCCTGTAGCTAAACTCTATGACTAGGCTCCACACTGCATAGCCAAGAACAGTAAGTTCACCCATTTATCTGGAGTAACCATACTGGATTAAAGAAATACAATTCTGTCCTCCTAAAGACAATTTCCAGAGAGACCGACCTGTCCCAATGAGGTACTTGACACTAGGATTAGCACAGGCTAATCACTGTATGGTTTCTTGGAAGACTGGCTTTTCTCTGTTTCTTTCTCTTTGATACTGTACAAGGGGTCCACCAACTTGTTATGAACAAGCATTAAACCTACAAAACATTAAAAACACAAAGTAGTTAATGCAGGTAGAGGCAAAGTTCCATGATTATCAACAATAACATTCAGGAGCTCTCAAATTTTGTCCTAGAACTGATACTCATCACTTTTTCTCTGTGGCCCCAAATGATAAACACCCTAAGAGCAGAAAAAGAATTTGTTATTCCCAATGAATGCTAGAATCCATGGGACTTCTATAAATTCAATCTCTAGGAGAGTTGCCCATTAAAAGGTTAATCTTTTCAGCAAAGAATAAATTCCTGATTGGCCTGCTCAGTAAAGGAGGATTTTCACATAGGTTTGCATAAAGCAGTGTGTGTCCTTTTGTTTTTTTGTGAGGAGATCAGCCCTGTGCTAACATCCGCCAATCCTCCTCTTTTTTTGCCGAGGAAGACGGCCCTGGGCTAACATCCGTGCCCATCCTCCTCCACTTTATATGGGATGCCGCCACAGCATGGCTTGCCAAAGCAGTGCGTCGGTGCGCGCCCGGGATCCGAACCAGCGAACCCCGGGCCGCCGCAGCGGAGCGCGCGCACCCAACCGCTTGCGCCACCGGGCCGGCCCCAGTGTGTGTCCTTTTTAAGTAGAAGAAAATAAGATCCTCATGTGGGTTCAGGGCCTTGCCTAGAGAGGAAAGGCCTGTATGAGATCTGGAAAGAAAAAACCTGAGGCTCAGTATCACTGCGAGATCAGCACATAGCCCTTGGGCTACAACTTGTTTCATTTTCTTTCCTCTTCCTGAGAACAAACAGGTCTCTAGAAATGGACCCTTGCAGTCATGGATGGAAGAGAAATGACTGTGTTCTGAGATAGGAGGGTTTGATTTTTATTAAAATGGCCCGAGCATGCAAGCTAGATTCACTTCTCACTCCTGGCACACCCTGACCTTGGCCACCTACTCCCAGAGCCACCCTCCCTCACCTCTGAAATACTTGACGGTCTTCACTTTCAGCTCCAGGGTGGCATCCTCGTCACACACAAACACCGTGCAGGGATGCTGCTGGAAGGCAGACACAGTCCACATGTGGTTCACTCCCTCCTCGATGGCCTTGTACAGAGCAAACGCCTTGTGAGCACCTGTGATGAGGATCATCACCTGGGGATCAGAAAACAAGCCCGTGACGGAGGGGAAGGAGGGGCAGAACTGAGAGTGCAGACAATTGATTTCGAGTCTGGCCACCCCAAACGATTCTAAGGACTATTGTTTTTATGTACCATTGTAAGTCGTCAGCATGTGACATACTGTGCTCTATGTGGTTTATCCCATGAACAGCCTGAGCTAGGAAGCATCATTATCCCCATGTTCTATGATAAAGAAACAGGCTGGCGGGGGGAGGGTGGTGGTGAAGTAACTTGCTCCAGGTTGTTTCTGACCGAAAGTCCATGCTCCTGACCACCCCATGGTAGTGCCTCCCAGCACCTTTGATGATGGCTGTGAAAGTGCCCTGTCAACAGACGTGCCATGTAAAGGCCCACACCTCTTATCCCAACAGTTCTAACACTGGGTCCCAGGGGGTCCTAGGCTGGGTGAGTTTTCATAATCACAATCTGAAAAAGAGGGGTCCCAATCTGCACTACCTACAAGGAGGCCTTGGAAGCAATGGTGCGAGTTCTCTGTGTGGCCCCTAAGGTCGATCCCAACAAGGGTGCCCCACAGTCTGGTCGCTTTCAGTGCAGAGTATTAAACCTACTAATGTGACTTGGGGTAATGTTTTTTTGTTTAAATAAAACAAAGGCACAGACTCCCTTCAACAATTAAAATTTTCAAGAACATAAGTGCTGGAAAGTGACCGTAAAGAACTCAGCTCTGAAGATTTCCTTTCACTGTAATTCACTTGTACCATAGAGCTGTGAACAGGATTTACTGGTCCTTTCTTAAAAGATGAGAAAACAGGCAGAGAGAGAATGTGACTCTTTGTTCAGGACCCCAGAACTCATTCTAGAAAAGAGAATTTCCTGATTTCCAGCCCCAGGTCCTTTCCCAGATCACGATACCCTCACACCACAGGGAGGGCCCTCGGACCCTAGTGTTCACAAGCTGCAAGGCCAAGAGCAGCCTCCCTAGTCCTGATACAAGGTTACCCAACAGAAGGCTGGTGCCATCGCTCATTTCACAAAAGCTCACTTTAGAAAGGGAACCATGGGGCAGCCCGGTGGTGCAAGCGGTTAAGTGCACGCGCTCCACTGCGGCAGCCCGGGGTTCACCGGTTCAGATCCCGGCGCGCACCGACGCACCGCTTGTTAAGCCATGCTGTGGTGGCGTCCCATATAAAGTAGAGGAAGATAGGCATGGATGTTAGCCCAGGGCCAGTCTTCCTCAGCAAAAAAAAAAAAAAAAGAAGAAGAAGAAGAAGAAGATTGGCTTGGATGTAAGCTCAGGGCCGGTCCTCCTCACAAAAAAAAAAAAGAAAGAAAGGGAACCGTTTTCACTGTTTGTTGACAGACTTGGGCAAAGAAATTTGAAGCTAAAATGTCTGTGGCTGCTTCCCATTGGATATACTCCAGAAAGGAAGAGAAAATGCTTCTAATGAAAGTAAGAAAATTGGAACCACAAAAAATTCATGATACCCAACTTTCTAGGGAAAAACTTACTAAATTCAGTCAAGAGACTTATATTTCAATCACACTTCTCCACATTCATGAATGCCTGAGCACAGGGCTATAACCACAAGTATCCTGGGGCTGCAGGGGGATTCCCTTCAAACAGTGACCTCTACCAACTGCGGGGAACCAGAGGGTCCCTCTCAGAGCCTGGGGAGGTGCAAATTCACAGTCTGGCATTAGTGGTGTGGGGCTCCTCTCTGCCTATGAGAAGCTCCAAAGGCGTACGTAAGCAGAGGCCAGGGAGCCTGCGGCCTCCCGGGCAGTCAGCGCTCAAAGGAGTCATCTCACCCTGGGGACAATGGTTACCTCCAAAAGCAAGGAGGAACAGTGATAGGGTCAGTTGGGATTTTAGCCTTATTTATAATGTCTTCATATTTAATAAAAATGTATTCAGGTGGTACCTGTATATTTAAAATTAACAACAAAAAGACAAGTCCAAGCTCCCACTGAAGGCCTTTGGACCCCTTGTGCACTTACCTCTCTAGCATCCATGACAGTGCCCACGCCCACCGTCAGGGCCATGGTGGGCACCTTGGCAAGATCCCCGTTGAAGAACCGGGCATTGGCCAGGATGGTGTCCATGGCCAGCGTCTTCACACGGGTCCTGGACACCAGACTGGAGCCCGGCTCGTTGAAGGCAATGTGTCCGTCAGGGCCAATGCCTGCCCAGGAGAGAGAGCCAGGGCAGCCCTGTCAGTCCCAGGGGTCCAACTTCAAGAATGGACACTCTCTCTTTCCCCACCTGGGGTCTGTCAAATCCTTGAAAACTGTGTCTCTTTTCTCAGTCACCCCTGGGTAGGTACACTTTGAGCATATGATCTTCCCCTCTCCTCAGCTCCTGCCCATTGCTGTCTGAGGCACACACAGCCACTGTTAACTTGCTACCACCCTCAAAAAGCTAAGTAAGAAGGCCACCAAATAGCTTCTGCCTCCCCAGATCATCGAAGTCTAACTTCTCTCTCTCCTGCCTGTATCAGGGTCCTGCTGCTGGGACAGAGTTGCAGTGAATAAAACACACACAGGGCCTGGATGGGGCTGCTAAGGTCATAAAATCTCAGAACACAAGTGCTCCGAGCTGCCTCCTCGCCACGTTGAAGTAGAGAGGAGTTAAATCTAGAGCAGTAAAAGACAGTCCAATTTCACCTCCTTTGGGTGACCTCCTACCTACCAGACCAGGTAGGAACAAGAGCACAAATCCGAGAGGGAGACACCTAGGTCCCCACCCTCTTTCTGCTGCTCCAGCCCGCTGACCTTGGGCAAGTCACAAAACTTCTCTGGGGTTCAACGGGCTACCTATGGTGTGCAGGGGCTGACTGTGGAATCTTCTCAACTATACGAGTCTGTGATTGTAAATGTTTAGATAAGTTCCATAAAAGCTTAAGACTGCGGAACAGAGAGAACCTCAGAGTCCAAATCCAAACCTCTCAATTTACAGACAACACATCAAAGTGCAGGAAGAGATGTCCAAGACCATACAGTTACTGAGCAGCAGAGGCAGGGCAGGGAGCTAGGGCTCCCACTCTCTGCCTTTCCAGGATAATAAATGACCACCACATCATAGCACAGAGAGAGGAAGCTGTCGGGAGACAGACATGGGTCTTGTCCTGCTTCCTATGTGTTCTGACCACCCCGAGTCTGGCTTGGACACATGCTGCAGAGTGTCAAGCTCACCTCCAACAAACAGCTCAATCCCGCCCGCAGCCTTGATCTTCTCTTCAAAGGCGTCACACTCAGCCTGCAGGTCAGCTGCATTCCCATCCAGAATGTGGGTGTTTTCTGGGTGAATGTCAATGTGCTTGAAGAAGTTGTTCCACATGAAAGAATGGTAACTCTCCGGGTGGTCTCGAGGAAGGCCTGTGGGGCCATGGCCATGCTCAGTCATTCCCAGGCTGAGCCAGAGCCTTCCTCTCAAGGAGGATGCCATGATACCCCCAGACCCCCAGAGATACTCGCAGGGGAATGCTCATCAGGGAGTCTTGGGCACCAGCCCTCTGACTCCCAGCCACTCGGGATAGGCTGAGCTGGCGTCCCTAAGTGTCCACCACCACCACCTATGACCACGGGACTGAGCCAGAGAGCTTCACACCACAGGCCTGAGGAATCCCCTCATTCTGATCTCCTTTTCACAAGGGAATCACCATAAGCTGGAGGCCGGGGTCACTCTGGGCCTCTGGAGGTGGCCTAGCTACCTGTCAGTAGGGCTGGGCCCATCTGGGAAAGGAAGCAAGCACACTCCTTACCCTGTGCCTCCAACCCCACCATTCACCCCCAGTTATACCCCCACTCAGCCTGAACCCCAAATTGAACACCAGGTGGTTGGAGAGAATTATCTCAGGGCTTCCCAAAAAGAATTTTTTTCAGCCAAGAAGAAAAAGAATGTTTAAAGTGAATGTTTAATGTCAGGGGCCGGCCCCGTGGCATAGCAGTTAAGAGCACGCGCTCCGCTGCTGGTGGCCCCGGGTTCGGATCCCGGGCATGCACCGACGCACTGTCTGTCAGGCCATGCTGTGGCAGCGTCCCATATAAAGTGGAGGAAGATGGGCACAGATGTTAGCTCAGGGACAGTCATCCTCAGCAAAAAGAGGAGGATTGGCATGGATGTTAGCTCAGGACTGATCTTCCTCACCAAAAAAAAAAATGTTTAATGTCAGCCTTAAAAAGGAAGGAAATTCTGACACATGCTACAACATGGATGAATCCTGAGGGCATTTTGTTAAGTGAAATAGCCAGTCACAAGAAGACAAATACTATATGATTCCACCTATATGAGGTATCTAAAGTATCAAATTCATAAAAAAAAAATTTAAAAAAATGGTGGTTTCCAGCAGTTGCGGGTATGGGAATGGGGGTTGGTGTTTAATGCATAGAGAATTTCAGTTTTGCAAGATGAAAAGAATTCTGGAGATTGGTCGCACAACAATGTGAGTGTATTTAGTGCTGCTGAACTGTACATGTAAAAATGGTTAAAGTGATAAATTTTATGTTATGTGTATTTTACAATTTTTTTAAAAAAAGAATGTTTAAAGTGAAGCCGTTACACAATGACGGTGGAAGGGGGGAGGTGACAGAAGACCCAGGTGTAGCTTTTCAGCAGTGGAAAGGACACGGGTCTCAGTGCCCCTCCCAGTGTACCCAGCAGAAAAGGGCACTGGAGGATGAGCACTGGAGAGCAAGTCCAGACACAGACACTGGGGGACACACCCCAGCCACGACACCATTTGCAACCATTTGTTCCAGAAAGAAACTACATGGAGTTAAGGGGGAGGCAGAGGAGAAGGAGGTACTCGAGTATTAACTGCTTGCTCTCTACGAGAGGCTTCCACATCTGCTACATCATTTAATGCTTACAGCCTGTGAGATCAGCTTCATTAGCCCCATTTTATAGCCCCAAGGCGTGGAAGAGACAGGTATTGCTAATTGAGCCTATCACCAAGCATCACTGGTTCCCTGACACGTCCCCATTCCTCTCCAGGGCCGAGCCTCTGAGGGGAGGAGTACGACTCTCCTGGAATCAGGTAAGGACCTTGAGAGAGAAAGACTCACCCACATACTCGTCCATGTTGAAGGTCTTGACGTATTTGAAGGACAGGTCTCCATTCTTATAGTACTCAATGAGCTTCTTGTAGCAGCCAAGTGGGGTGCTCCCTGCAAGAGAGGACACAGCCATGAATGCCCTTCAGCCCCCCAGCTCCTGGAAGCCCAGAGGGCGCCCAGGAATGAGGCAGGGCTGCTCCACAAGGAGAACCTGTCAGATCTGGGAGAAACAAGTCAGATCTGAAGTCCTACCCCAATGCTGCAATCCTAACTGCCATCATTGCTGGTTTAAGCCTGTTTCCCCAGTGACTGGAAGCTCCAGGAGGACAGGCTGTGTTTCTCTCATTCACCGCTGAGTGCCCAGCGCCAGCACACTGAAATGACTGTGATAGGACCTGAGTGAACGTCAGACTTAATTACTGACATGATTTTCCCTGAGAAACTACTATGTGCGAGGCACAGGGCCACGTGATGGGGATGCAGAGGAGAGAGAGACAGAGCAGCCACCCTGGAAGAGCTCCCTGTCTAGGAGTGGGGACAGGAAGCAGTAACATCAGCTGTGATGGGGGTAAGCACAGGTTCAGGGAGGATCGCCCCCCCCCCAGGGGCTAGCAAACTCCCCGGCTGAGTCTCATTAAAAAGTCAATGTCATGGGGCCGGCCCGGTGGCGCAAGCGGTTAAGTGCGCGCTCCGCTGCTGCGGCGGCCCGGGGTTTGCTGGTTTGGATCCCGGGCGCGCACCGACCATGCTGTGGCGGCGTCCCATATAAAGTGGAGGAAGATGGGCACGAATGTTAGCCCAGGGCCGTCTTCCTCAGCAAAAAAAGAGGAGGATTGGCGGATGTTAGCACAGGGCTGATCTCCTCACCAAAAAAAAAAAAAAAGTCAATGTCAGAAAACACATAAAAAAGGTAGGACCACTAAAGACTAAAGATGCATGAAGCCTGACTGGACACTGGATTAATTTTCCTTAAAAAGCTATAAAAGATAAATGTGAACAATTAGGAAAAATTTTTTAATATAGTCTATTATATATATGATATTGTGGAATGATTTTTAATTTTCTTAGGTATGATAAGGGTATTGTGGTTATGTAAGAGAATGTCCTTACTCTGAGGAGATGGTGCTGAAGGATTTAGAGGTAAAGTATCAGGATGTCTGGAACTTACTTTCAGGTGGTTCAGAAAAAAAAAATGTGTGGGTGTGTGTGAGTGTATATAGAGAGAGAACATGAGCCAGGAGAGATGAAGGCAAATTGTTGCAAAATGTTACCAACTGGCAAGTCTAGGTAAATGTACTACTCTTTCAGCTTTTCTGAATATTTGAAATTTTTCAAAATAAAAACATGGAAAGAAAAAAGACTCACTCAGATCAGGTCACTCTTTTCACAACCCACCAACAGGTTCTCATTTCACTCTGAGTAATAACCAGTTATAACAAAGGCTCTATATAACCTAGCCCCTGGCTACCTCTCTCCCCCTTACTCATCCTGCTCCAGGCAATTCCACCTCAGGCCTTTTGCACATGCTGTTAGCTTTGCCAGCAATGTTCTTCCTTCAGGTATCTGCACAGCTCACTCTTGCCTCTTTAGGCCTTTACTCAAATGTCCCTTGCTCAGAGAGACCTTCCCTGCCACCACATCCAACACTGCAAGCCCCCCCACCCCTGCCCAAACACTCCCTATCCTCCTTCCCTGCTTTATTTTCCTCCTTCCCTCTTATCACCATCTAATATACTCCATATTTTGCTAATTAATTTGTTTATTATCTCTCTCCTACTACAATTAAATCTTCAGGAAGGTGGGAATTTATGTCCTTTTTGTTCATGGTTGCATCCCCAGCACCTAGAACAGCTTGGCATACAGCGGGCATTCAATAAATATCTGCTGAATGAATGACAGTGGCAGGCCCCATCCCCAAATAATCAGCTTGTCCCTGTGACATGGCCTTAGCCAGGCCTGAGCCACACAGCTTCCCTGTCCCCTTGAGCTTCATATTGTCCATTTTCCAAATTTCTAGGCTTCCCATCAATTCCGTGAGCACCCCAGTATCTGGACAATAAATTCCTTTTCTGCTTAAGTTAGGCAGAGTTGGTTTCTGTGGTTTCCACCCAGAATCCTGACTGGTGCTTCATCTCACAGAAGGAATGTTCCAAGGAACCCAAATGGAAATGCTATGCCGGTTCAAGTAGGACATTCAGGAAGGGGCCAGGTCTTGGAGGCCCCTAACGCCACTCTGAGGAGCTTGCATCTGACTCTGCAGATGATGGGGAACTAGGGAGGGGTTTCAGCAGAGGCTCAGACTCTTACCCAAGGTCACTCCACAGTCAGAAAACAGGATGTTAATGCAGCCCCCACGTGGCCTGAGACGGCGGTGGTTTCACAGGTACGTGCAGATGCTGATCCCACAAACCTCTAGAGTGAAGGTCACAAACTTCACCTCACAGGCCAGATCAAGCCTGCGGCCTATTTTTGGAGAGCTCCTGAGTTAAGAATGGTCTTTACATTTCTTAAGTTTTTAAAAATCAAAAGAATATTATTTTGTGACATGTGAGAATTATATAAATTTAAACTTCAGCGTCCATAAATAAAGTTTTATTGGCAGATGGCCATGCTCACTCATTTATGCATTGTCCATGGCTGCTTTCGAGCTACGAGGGCAGAGTTAAGTAGTTGCAACAGAGGCTGCAGGGCCAGTGAAGTGTAAAATTCTATTTGGCCATTTACAGAAAAAGTATGAAAACCCCTGCTCTAGTGGACAGGCCATTGGGACAAATCCACCCAACTTCTGAAAGAAATTATCAGGACATTTGCCTTGAGGAGCTGAGGTCAAAATATCCTCCCTATAGGCAACATTCTCACTTTCTCCCCAAAAAAACCAAGCCTGTTTTTCACTTAGGGCCCATGTTTAATTAAGCCTTACAGAAAATGCTTTGAGTGATTATCTTCTCAATTCTCCCAAGGATGGTGCTTAGCCAGTAGCACTCAAATGACAGCAGAGAAATTAATTCATTACATAAAAGGTATGCCTTAAGGCATCAGGACTTAATTTTGTTAAGGAGCCCTGGCTGCCAGGGCTGACTTAGGATGTAGCCTAAAAATCCAGGTCTTTCTCCTAACCAAGATCCCTTCCACTCCAGGATTCTTCAGGAGCAGGCAGCAGCTAAACCAACCGTAAGGAAACGGGGTCCTCTGTTTTGTACGGCGGGGAAAGGGAAGTTTTCCACTCATAGTACCAGTACCTCAGAGGCCTCCTTGAAGTCCCTTGGCTGAGTGAGCCCACCTACTGGGCCCCTTAGAAGCCCCTAAGGCTCACTCCCCACCCCCCCCTCCCCCATGCATGGCACCCTCTCCACCCCACAACGCACCAGTAGGGAGCCCCAGGGTGAAGTACTTGTCTGGCCCTGGATTAAACTGGATGATGCGATTCCTGATGTATTTGGCGGCCCACTCGCTGGCCTGAGAATAGTGGTCCAGGATGATGAGCTTCATCTTGTCCTGCAGGGGGCCGGTGACAAAAGGAATCAGTGGTAAGGGGCAGGGAGAAGGGGGTGCAGGTGTTGGCGGAGAGGGGAGAAGCCCTTCTCACCCAGCAACACCCTCTCCCCAAGCTGTCTGAGCCAGGAGGAGGGAGGCCGTAACTCGCAGTTCACAGAGGAATTAGGCTGGGCCAGGTGCCTCCCCCGCCCACCAGGAGGCGCTGCTGCGGGACCAAAGCGGGTTCTAATTTCGGTTCCTCCATTTCCCAACTGCAGGACCTCGGTCAAAGGACCCAAGTTCTCTAGCCTGTTTTCTCCTACGTGAAAATAGGGGCAATAGTACCCACCTGACAAGTTTCACGATGGTGAACATTAAATGAGAGAATGCATGTAAACCACAGTTAGATTCAATATGTTGGCTAGTATCGTGTAGCTCGACCCAGCCCTCCCCGCGCCCCCTATTCTCGACCCATGGACTCTTCCTCAGTAGATGATCCTCAGCGTGTGTGGGATCGTCTTGGGCCACCGGAGCAGGTGGGGGCCGTAGGCTCTGCCCGGAGAGGTGTGTTCTCTTTCAGTACTAGAGAGGGGTGCTCCCACAGGCCGGCCTTGCTTTGTGGATCCTCAGTTTCCCCAAAGCACACGGGGTCAAGGTAATCGCTCCGGAAGGAGGCCGTTTGCTCCCCCGGCACTGGTCAGTCAAAGTGGGAAGGCCCGAGGCGGAGGGGCCCGGGTCGGCCGTCCGTGGGGTACAGGAGCGTTTCCCCCACCCCGATGGCGATCATCCCATCGCCCCTCCGGCCCCGCCTGGGGAGGGCGTCCGAGCGGCTCGCCAGGGTCCCGGCTCGGGGGTGCCGGAGGGTGGGGCAGCGACCGGACTCCTGCCCGCGCCCGCCCGCGAGGAGGGTCCCCGCCAGCCCCTCTCGCCCCGCTCCCCACTTACGCGGACACCTCCCGCGGCGGCTGCGGAGAAGGCGCTGGCGGCCCCGCCCCGCGCGGGTCACATGGCGGCGGGTCACGCGGCGCCGCTCGCCTCCCGCGGGCCCACTCGGCGGGGCGGACTCTGCCCGGCCGGGGGTCACCCATACCCTCGTCTCTTCTCCAGGGCGTGCGGCTGGAGAACAGCCCGTGGGAGACGGGCTCGGAGACTGGCTTCGTGGAGGAGGAGGGAGACCTGGTGGTCCCAGGTCGCCCCCAGGAGTGCAGTCCCCAGGCCCGGGGCTCGGGCTGGGTTCTTAGTGCTGGAGGTGGGGCGGGGGTGGAGGCGTAGAAACGCCGCCACGGAGCCTCCCCGGGTTGGGCCTGGCTCTGCCTTCAGTTTCTTTACTTTTTTAGATGTCATTTATTTACCTAGATATTACAACTTTTTTGTTTTAAATATAATTGGATTTTTTCTGCCTTTTTTTTTTTTTTAAAGATCAACCTTTGCAGCAGTATGTACTAGAGAAAAACGTACGTCCCTGGTCTCCCCAACTCCCCACCCCAGGATGACCATTGGTAACAGTTTAGACTACATTCTAGATCGTTCTTCCTTGCATACACTTACGTTGTATTCTACAGAAATGGGAAAATACCCCATCTGCGTCCACAGCTGGACAGCCACATTCTGCAGTTCCCGGGGCTGGCTCACCTGTCCCCTCGGGCCCAGCCGCAGCTCCAGACCAGTTGGATGGAGGTGGGCTTAGTCTAGTGAGACCCTGATGAGACAGACAGGGCGGTGGAGCTAATACCTTCACAGTGGAGGGACGTTCTTTGGCCTCAGTGTTGTGATTTTGTGTGTGGGGTGGTTTTTTTGTAAAGTCAGAAATCTCACCCCAGCATGGGGATTGCAGGTGTTTCACGATACAGTTGCAACCCCCAGTCTCCAAACACATCAGATAACGTGGGCCTGCTCTGCAGCAGCTGCATTCCGATCTTTCCAGGAAGAGTGACCTCGTGTGACTTTAACTGGGCCTTTTTGGCCGCCTCTGAGTTACCCTTTCTGCAGGGAACCAGTGCAGGGCCTCTGTGAGGCCTGGAAGCACTGAAGTCAGGCAGCCTGGGGGGCTAATCAGAAAGGCCTGGGTTTGACTTCTGGTCCCACCAATCCTGGGTTCTTGAGTGAGTGACTCAAGCAAATGACTCAACTTCTTCAGCTCTCAATTTTTGTATCGGGAACACGGGAATTGAATGGAAATTCAGTAATACTGACCTCTTGTGGCTGTTACGAACATTAGATGAACTATTAGGCCAGCCATGATTACCCCTTATTTTCTCCCACCCTCCTTACAGCCCACTCTCTAACCTGGAAATGCTCCTCCCCTAACCACCTGCCCCCTCTTGCTCCTCAGCTGCATGCCTGGGTTTGAACTGTTACCCACACCCATCCTCCCATCTTGTTTTGGAAATAAAATTGGCTAATTAAAAGAATTGTGAATTAGGGGCCGGCCCCGTGGCTTTGCGGTTAAGTGCGTGCTCTCTGCCACTGGCAGCCCGGGTTCGGATCCCGGGCGCACACCGATGCACCTCTTGTTCCGCCATGCTGAGGCAGCGTCCCACATACAGCAACTAGAAGGATGTGCAACTATAACACAAATATCTACTGGGGCTTTGGGGAGAAAAAGGGAAGAAAAAGAGGAGGATTGGCAATAGATGTTAGCTCAGGGCTGATCTTCCTCACAAAAAAAAAAAAAAAGAATTATTATGAATTCATCCAATATAGTGAAACACTCTGCAGCTCTGGTGTGAACAGATGTTTTTGTACTCTTGAATATGCTCTTGCTTTGGGCAAACACCCTGCCCGCATACCCAAAAAGTCTTGCTCAGTCCAGGGGGTTCCTGTGGGTTTGGTGGAGCTGGCCCTACCCTTTGACCTAGGATCTAACCAATTAAAGACCTCCATGCCCCTGCCCATGATTGTTTCAGGGCTGGGCAGACATGGAAGATACTAACCCAACAGCCATTCACAGCCTCCCTTTTCACTTGCTGCTTCTCTCTGTAGACGCTGGAAAATCAACTACTCTCCCAGTTTCTCTCAGTTAGGGTGTGGCCAGGTAGACTAGTTCTGGCCAGTGAAGTAAAAGGATGGCTTCTGGGAAGATATTTTACTTTCTGAGAAAAGTGACATGTTTGAGAAACAAACTCTCTCTGTTCCTCCCTTTCCTTCCTGCCTTGAAGGCAGATGTGATGCCTGGAGCTGGGGAAGCCATGTTATAACCATGAGACAACAAGCATAAGGTTAGAGTGGAGGACAGAAAGAACTCAAGTCTTTGATATTTGACCGGCACTGGGCTTCCTACTTCTGGATTTCTTCTAAGTAAATAGTAAATATCCTTATGTTTTAAACTTTAAGCCACTGTTAGTAGAGTTCTCTGTGACTTGAATTTGAAAATATGACTTACTGTTGCAGCAGATAACTCAGATATTCCTCAGGGTTTATGCTGCTATTTTGGGGAGATACATGTCTTTTACTGGGATCTTCAGCTGTAAAATCACAAAAGCTTAGAGCTGCCAGTGAGAAAAGTAGAACCAACAGAAAAGAGATCCAGAGCCCTGATGACGTCATTTGGGCCACCCAGATCTAGCCATGTCTGAAGCCAAATATTTACCCTGTTGGGTTTAACAGGTGGGTGAATGAATGAGTGAAAACATAAATAAATATCATTTTTTTCCCTGAGGCTAGTTAGAGAAAATTCTAGAAGAATACTTAGTTATCTATTGTTGCATAACAGATTGCCCCAAAGTTTAATATCTGAAAACAGTAATTACAATAAGGGCTAGAAAGAAATAGTGCTATCAAGCCACGAAAAGACATGGAAGGAAACTTAAATGTGTATCACTAAGTGAGAAGCCAATCTTAAAAGGCTATATAATGTGATATTTCAACTATTTGACATTCTGGGAAAGGTAACACTAGAGAGACAGTAAAAAGATCAGTGGTTGCCAGGAGTTAGAGAGGAGGGAGAGATGAATGGGTGGAGCACAGAGGATTTTTAGGGCAGTGAAACTATTCTGTATGATGCTAAAATGATGGATACATGTCGTTATACATTTGTCTAAACCCATGGAATGCACAAGAGTGAACTCTAATGTAACCTATGGACTAGGGGGGATTATGATGCATTATGATGTGTTATAACAAATGTACCACTCTGATGGGAGATGGTGATAATGGGGGAGGCTGTGCAAGTGTGGGGACAGGAGGTATATGGGAAATCTCTGTACCTTCCTCTCAATTTTGCTGTGAATCTAAAACTGCTCTTAAAAAAAGTCTTAAAAAACAAAACAACAATAATCTTTTTTTCTCTCTCATGATTTCTGTGTGCTAGATATTCAGAGAAGGTACAGTGGGGATGATGTCTGGAGTCTCAAATGGAAGACTCAAAGGCTGGGGCTGGAATCAGAGGAAGACTCATTTATTCACATGTCTGGCAATTGATACTGGCTGTCAGCTGGAACACACATATGGCCTCTCCTTGTGGCCTGGGCTTCCTCACAACATGGTGGCTGGGTTCCCAGGGCAAGTATAGTGAAAGATAAAGATGGGCTGAGGTTGCATCCTTTTTATGACCTAGCCTCAGAAGTCACATAGCATCACTTCTGCTGAGCCCTGTGTATTGAGGCAGTCACAAGCCCCCACCCAGATTTAAAGAGAGAGAACATAGACCCCATCTTTCTGTGTGAGGAGTGTCAGTACCATTATAAGAAGACCATGTGAGATGGAATAAATATATAAATATGGCCATCTTTAGAAAATGCAATCTGCCACAGACATACACTAAACTATAATTAGGATTTGATCAACTTAATTGATTACCTATTCTGTGCCAGCCACTGTGCTAAAGGTTTTTCAAGTATTATCTCATTGACTCTTTGTAATACATTTTGAAGTAGATGCTGAGTTTATCTCAATTTTACAGACATTTTTACTTTAGTTTCCTTTGTGAGGTGGGATTATGGGGGAATGTTCACTTTCTGCTTAATATTTATGTGAAATGAATGATATCTGCCTTGAAGAAAAAAAATACACCAAAACTTTACAGACTTTAATCAAGCAATCTTATGCTTCCATCTGGGCCAAGTCAAATGCCACCTGTTCCTCGTGGTTGTCTTTTTCATTAATTTATAAACTATTTATTGAGTCTGTATTATGTGCAGGGCATTATTTTAGGTTCTGGCAAAACAGCAGTGAATAAAACAAAGTCCATGCCCTCATGCACCTCCAGGCTCTAATGATTAAATTTTAATGAATTTTAGTAATTCAGTATGGTAGCCAGCCTCCAAGGTGGCCCCTAATGATTCACACCCTTATGCAGTCCCCTGCTGCAATGGATAGGGATGACCTGTGTAACCAACAGGGTATTGTGAAAATGATGACTGTGTCTTCTGAAGTTAGGTCATAAAAGACACTGCAGCTTCCTCCTTGCTCTCTCTCTGGGATCACTTGCTCTGGAGAAGCCGTCTGCCATGTTGTGGGGATGCTCAAGCAGCCTTATGCAAATGAAGTCTCCTTCCAATAGCCATGTGAGTGAGCCATCTTGGAAGTGGATCCTTCAGACCCCATCAAGCCTTCAGATGACTGCAGCCCTGGTCAGTGTCTTGAGTGAAAACTCATGAGAGACCCTGAAACAGAATCACTCAGCTAAGTCACCTCTGGATTCCTGATCCACAGAAGCTATGAGATGAAAAACATTTGTTGTTTTAAGCTGCTAAATTGTGGAGTATTTGGTTATGCAGCAATAGATATCTAATACACTCAGACGAATTCCACAAGTGGGGTGGGTGGTGGGCAGGGGATTCAACACTTTTCTCTCTCCCTTGTGCCTGAAGGTGCATCATCTGACCCACCAGAGACACTCCACTCCTCACCACCACACTCCCAGGTTGTGCTGCCCTCCCTCCGCCATGTTTGTGGAATCTCTTGCCAAGGCTTTCGCTGAGATTATTCCTGTTACTTGCTGTCTTCTGCCTTCTAATTATCTGAGGCTGTGTCTTACCTCCATTAATGGTAGCTGCATTTCACTGGTCTTTGCAATTC